GTCACAGATGTCACGCAAGTGACGGCAGAGCTCACTGATTTAAACGTTGAAGACGGTAGAGTGGAGCTCTCCCAGTCAGTGACTCTGCCCTCAAGCTACTTTGGAGCAAAGTCTGAGAGACATTAGTGATGAAAGTAGAACCGGAAGGAGGTGAAGTGACCAAGCGACGTCTTGAAAACATTGCGAAATAGGGAGCTGCCAAATTTGGCGTACACTGGTCGCGGGTTTTAAAATAGACAGACCTAACTACCAGCAATGGCTTAAAACTGTCGCGCTAAATACGAGTAGCGTAGACGAAGAGTGAGTGAGGCGTGGATGTGCTGGAACGGCCGTCTTAATGACGAGATGAGGTAGTAAACGCACTGGTCGACGCACAGTTTTATAAAGGCCAATTGGGAATAAATGCTAATCAAATCGAAACGTTTCCTTCGCAAATTCAATCTTTTTTAATGCAAATGACATGGTCTAAGGATGGCTTTTGGTTGCCTCTTTGTTTGTGGTAAACTAAAAGACGCAAAATATGTCAGTAGGAAATTATTCTTACGACCTTTAGTGACTAGACCGGGATCCCGGGATCCCGGGATCCCGAAATAAAAACTTTCGGGATCCCGGGATTGGCAAAACGTTCCGGGATTGCAATCTCTACTGCGGGCGAATATTAGGGACGTTATATGTAAATCTTTTTGGCCAGGTACTTTTAGTGGTTAGGAAGTTATGCCGGTTCGCAACTTTAGGTAATAGTTGTGTTCTGGTACGTGATCTGCCGATGGCGAATAGTTCATTGGTACCACTTCCCAGTTATATGTGGTAATAACTAATAAGTAATTGCAGTGTCTAGTAATGCTGAATCATGTGTGGTGTGTCGAATCACGTTAGAGATTGTCGTCAAAACCACTAATGTAGACCTCAAGAGTGTGGCAATGGCATTTAATGAGCTGACACTGACACGTCTTTGTGTTACTTAGAATCGACAGTTTTGGCATCATAAATGTGCAGGCAAATGAAAATAATTTACGATGAAGATTTTCTTTTACAAATATATTTCATAAGATCTATTGGTTCATAAGATCTAAAAGCCTGGTTGTTGACGCCAAAGAAATAGATCGTTTTGGACTAACCAAGTGACCAAACTTTGACTGAGGTGTGACGGATAACCTTGACAACATGTCACAAAACGCTAAACAGATCACGGGCACGAACACCCATAAATTCTGCCACCACGACATAATTACCGGTACAGGCGCAGGTATTTGTGCCACTAACAGGTACCCAGGTGTGTCATATAATGAATGGGCTTACCTGTTGCGGTGCTATACAATGAATGGGTTTACCTGTTCCGGAGTTTATTTCCATGCAGGCGAGCCAGGCCATTCCTTATTAGTGGGCTGTTAGTTGAGCTGACCGGATTTTTTGACAGAGTGGTGATGAATGCACAGTGTTTATGAGCTATTCTGCTGCATTATATTCCGGTGTCATGAAGGTCAGTTACATGCATAATAATGCCGTTCATTTCTAGCCATCACATTCATAGGCGCATACAAACAATGCGATGTAACCATAGGCGGCGGAACGGGGAGGGCACCGGGGCACCGTGTCCCCCTTTGATTTGGGCGTTTTAACCCTCGCCCGTATTGGTGTTATTCCAGCTGCGAACGTATAAGGGGGGGGGGGTCCGTTGGACCCCCTTGCCGTTTCGCCCTTGATTGAGCTAGAACTTCGCGGAAAAAAACGAGCGTGCTGCCCGTGACGAGAGGAAGCCGATGATACCCAATTTTAAGGTCCTAGGTCATTGGTTGACCTTGCAGGTCAGGTCAATGACCCCAAAGGCGGGAAAATCGGGACCTGTTAGAACGTCGTAAGCTGTGGCTGCTATGGGGTTTTTCGGGGTGCTGATCACGAATATCATGTTAGTTTTGATCACAGATGATGTCTTCATGTATTTAGTTTAGGCCAGGTCGGGTCAGGTCAGGTCAGGTCAACCAGTAAGGGTATTCGTAGCAGGTGGCAACCGCCTCTGACAGCTTCGTAACATGTTACGAAGGCACCAAAACTACTTCGTAAATGTTCATATGGTTGCTAAATTCGAATTCAGCTCCAACAACTGGCTTAAAAACGTGTAAAACTCGAAAAAGTTAACCGAGGTCATCAAAGGTCAATGACCTGACCTGACCTTCAGGTGACCTTGACACCCACCCTAATGCATGGGGGCAACATCATATCACATGTTTGAACGCTTGAAACCACGAAAAGACTGCAAACGCGCGGCTATGCGAGCCGACATACGCCGAATCGCGATTCCAGCCAAACATGGTCTCGAAAAGTAGGTCACAGGTCAAAGGTCATTTGGGTCAGGGTCATGAAATTTTCAGGGTAGGTGTGAAATTGATGAACGCGATGGTTCTGAAAGTTTCGTCGCGATCGGCCGCTTTTTACGCGAGTTATTCGCGAAAAACCATGGGGGGGGGGTCCGTTCGACCCCCCCCCCTATACGGGCGAGGGTTAACATGATCATAACTTTCCATGCAACCCTATGGGCGTTGCATGGAAAGAATGGGACCAAAAGTCGACAGTGCCCCCCTTAATTGAAGGTGTTCCACCGCTACTGGATGTAACAATACAATGCATAATGCACTTTTAATGACTTTTTATCCTGCGTTTCGCCCTGGCTTTGATGAGTAGGTGGGTCGGATATAAAGGGGAAAATATTTGGATTGTTTTGCTACTGATATGAACGTCGATTCTCTCTTTCACATATCTACATTTGCCGCAAAATTCAACTACCGAGCCCGAGGAGAACGGAATGTCGTTTCTCAGCTTACATTTGCCGTCGTCTAGGAGGCAATTCTAGTTTGAAACGGCAATCGGCATGAATGCTAAAATCCGCTGTTAGCTGAAGTTAGAAAAAAAATTGGCGACACATATATTTTACTGTTCCTTGCTATTACCCAACATAACTCTTCTAGGTGTAAGCATGCCCCCATCATTTCCTACATAACGCTGATCACCATCTCAGGGATCGTGTCGGTAGAATTCAGAGCTGACTCCTTGACATCATCACCCTGCTTCATATCGCACCAGGCGCGACGTCACCCTATACCTCATATCGCGCGCCGGGTGCGCGAGTTCGTAACGCCAAGCGGCAGTTTAGCGCCAGTGACGCGCTGCATACAGAGTGCATACCCCGATCGACTGATAACGGACCGGCGAGCCGGATCGCGGTGCTGCTATCTGCCACCTGCATACACTTGACCTCGGCTGACACGGACCGGTGAAGACCGCGACGATGTCAGTGTGAACCCAACACCTTGTAAGACATTGATGGTATGCGTGGTTGGGTCCGGTAGAGGCCCCGTTTCGTAGACCTGGAGCGGAGCGCTGGTTCGAAGCAGGGGCGAGACAGATTGTGACCTCGAGTTGAGGATGGTGTACGGGACGTTTATGCTCGCTGTTAGGTGTAATGTGTATCCCGTTTGGTGGTCAGCCATGCATGTGATATACGGTGGGTGCGAATGGCAAGTTCCTGTCTGTGGCCGCTCAAACTGTCTGTGTTTAGGGGACCATACCAGGTCACCCATGCTTTTAAGGATGTTAGTGATAGCGACTGACGAAATCTATCGTATTTCAGCGGACGCCATACGTATGGAAGGAGTATCTGGCAGCCCGACAGGGTGGCGACTTCATATGGCAGCAGCAGTGGGACAAGGACGGCTCCTCATCCATGCTGACCCACCATCATCCCTATTTCATGTGAGTTGGGATCGTAACACCGCATTGAAATTTTAAAGCAGAAAGAGTTAAATCGACAAATCTGTGACAAAAACTAAATCACGAGTAATTCTTAGCGACTTTTTCCTAATCCCAAAGTCAAGCCATCTCAATACTCACATACATGCTCGAGGTTTTTCGCTCTCAACAATCAGCATTGCCTGACACTACCACCTAGAGTGTTTCGGCTCCACGGGATAACGTTTTCTTTCCATGACATCTTGCATAAGTGTAGCGCCAACTATAAAAATGCCAACTGCTTACGAAAAGGACGTCCTAATCACTGTTAAATGATGTGCCGAGGGTTAGCTCGAAGAAAAACGACACGGTGTCATAACGGCCAATTATTCCTCGGTCGTGCTGGATGATTGTCGGTTACACGAACTGTGATTACACATTAGTTTTATTACTCAGCATTTGTTAAACCCTTGAAACAGTCAACGTAGCAATTTAAACATTCACATCAGCCTAACTATCCTTGCATCATGGGGACAAAACCCACGCTATTGCAAGAGCAGCAATTTCCGTCAGTTTAGTCGCTCGACGAGGGTCTATGGTGACAAACCATAAGTATTTGTTTTCCAAAAGCCGTCATTTCACCATTTCACGCGCTATTACCTGTCTCAGAAGCAACAAAAACGGTAACGTGACGCATCACATCCAGCGGTGGTAAGAAAGCGGGCACGCCCCGCATTAGCCAATATGTTTGTCAATAACTGTTCTGTGGCGCTGTTAGCCACATATAACGTAACGCCACGCCACGGCGGTCCGGCGCCCAACCCCGCCCGGTGTCGCAAGCGAGCATTGTGCGTGACCGCGCTGTTTGGTGCGTGGCTCTCCTTTCGCCGTCGCCCGAGCCAGGTCACGACCACACCCTATGGCGTCGCTCACTAGCGCGCGGCTCACCCACACGAGCTCCAAGGCCGGCACACGAGGATAAGTGCTCCCGCTGCGCAGTCGGGCACCCAGCGCGGGCCACTCACTCTCACAGTCGCGCCGTGCACGAGGTAAACTCAGAGCGCGAGCGTAGCTCAAGGAAATCCCGTCTGAGCTGAATGAAGGAGGGGTTCTCTGTGGCCCAGCTGTATCCGCTCCTCAAGCCATATAGCTACAGTACTGCGTTGTGCATGACTTTGAAGAACGCCGATGCCACGAAAGCACTGAGTCCGAGATGTGGTACAGGAAAACTGATGCTCACTGTTTGTTCTGCTGCTAAGAATGTCCCTTCACTGATTGAAATCACAACCTTTCAACGCGACGGTGTTTGCAGAAATATGCCGCCAATTCTGTGAACACTGAACATGCACTGCGTGACCATCGATAAGTCGAATCCCAGTCAGGCTGATTGTTTATGCAGCAACGGGTCTCTTACCTCTCAATCTGCATAGCACGGTGTTGTTTCCTACACGATAGATACATCTCTGGACAGATGGGCGCGGTGTTGTCTATAACCGTTTATCTCTGGGGGACTTTGGCGAGCAGTCACGCATCAGTGTCTTTGCGCTGTTTTTGCAGTCATGCAATCACCGCTACTAACTGACTCAAGTAGTTGCAATCGTCTGTAGACTGTATGAGTATAACTTATTAAGATTGACAAATGTGGTATGATTTTTGCGCCATTTAGCGGATTGGAGCTGAGATGGCATTGTAATAACACTGCAGTGGCGTTGAACTCAAATCTTTGTCGTTGATACCGTAAAGCTGTTGTCCCGTAGCCGTGTCCATCCTTCAGGGTCAATACCCGAAGTCATTGGTGACCAGATCTAATAAAAAGCTTGACATTTGATGGGTTCAAAGTTACAGTCTGTTGCAAAAACTGGTGTGACCGGCCCGGTTGTCCCCAGGTACACGACCAGTGCTGCGTGCGGTCCGTTCGGCGAGTCCTCCAAGATGTGCTTCAACTTTGACTTTGCCCGCGACTGGGCCAACCCCGTCGCCTGGTACCGACAGTTCACTCATGTCACCGACGCCAATGTCAAGGTGAGATTAGGTTGTCAAAATAAGGCATGGCTATGTTATCATGCTTATTTTACTTTATACGACATCAGTTTGAAACGATTGAAGTTTGAAACCTTCCGGAAGAGATGCAATTATGTTCAGTGCAAAGTCAGATGGGAGCGTAATTGTTCACTTGACATGCTGGTCTTCTTCCGTTTAAGAACAAGAATACAGTTACCTGAGCCCGTCAATCATTTTTTTTTTTATAAATCTTCTTCGTAATAACCCGTCAAATAGGACTGTCTGTATTTGATAAACTATATGATCGAATATGATAGGTACTTTTTTACCAAGCGCTCTACCAGTAGATCCTTAATTAGTAACCGACCTCATCAAATATCCTACTTACGTTGTAATTGACCATTTTCTCCACCTCTCTTCTCCGCAGGAGCGCGCTGAACTCCTGGTCGACGCCGCTGGAAGGACAGCTTCTCTGTTCCCCCACAACGTGGCGCTGATGATGCTCGGAGCCGACTTCCAGTTCCAGCATGAGTTCGAGTGGCGCGAGCAGTACACCAACTACACCAAGCTCATGACGTACATCAACAGTCACCCGGAGCTGGACGCCGAGATTCAGTTCGCCACACCGGCAGAGTACTTCAGCGTGGTTCGGGCACGCTCTCGCCGCCGTCGCCGGCTTCCCACACTGGTTGGTGACTTCCACGTGTACTCAGACGTGTTCCAGGCCAAGCCCAAGTACTGGTCCGGCTACTACACGACGCTCCCGCACTGGAAGCGCGCTGCCCGCCAGCTGGAGTCGCACCTGCGTGCTACGGATATCCTCTACTCGTGGGCGTGGAGCCAACATCGCGAGGCACACAGCGCGGCCAACTCGGCGTTCTACCACAGTTACAATCGACTGGTGATGAGCCGCCAGGATGTGGCGCTCTTCAACCACCACGACGCCATCACCGGCACTTCGGCCACCCACGTGATGCGAGACTTCATCGAGAGGCTGGAGATCAGCGACACAGACCTGAGCCGAGGCTCACTGATGATGATGATTTCTCTCCTGCTCGAGTTGGGTCTCTACAGCAAGGTGCTGACGCTGTTCGATCAATACTCTCCTCTAGAGTACGGCATCGGCCTGCCTCCACAACTGACTGAATTCAAAATTCCGACCGGTGAGAGTCGTCGCATCCTGCTGTTCAACCCACTGGCGCAACCACGCACAGAGCTGATGAAGCTGCGCGTCATGCAGCCTAACATTGCTATCGCTGACGACACGGGGAAGCCACTGAAGGTGCACTTCCAGCCGGATGGCATTTGGTTCACCGCCTACTTCCTGGCACCACTCGACCCGCTAGCTGTCCATGCCTTCCAGGTGACAAAAGCGCAGAGCCCTCAGCCTGCAGTGGTAGAGCGAACCAACCGGGACCTGGAAGATTTTTTCCACATCAGAAACGATCGTTTCGTGGTGACGTTCAACAAGACTGGGTTCACGTGGAGTGTCCTGGACAAACGCTCCGGGCGTGAGCTTCCTTTCGTGGTGACCTTTGAAGCGTTCTCCACTGTCAAGGGAGAAAGTGGTCTGTACTTGTTCGCCACGGTTGATGAGGCCCCGCCGAAGACAATGCCGTGCAGAAACCGTCGCTGGACGGTTCGGGAGGACGGTGCACACTCGGAGGCCACTGTCGAGTGTGACCGCATCAGCCTCACGGTGCGTCTGCTGAAGACAAACACTCCGCAAGGTCAGACACTGCAGCTAGAGACGACGACCTCATTGACGGCAGAGGACACAGAGACGGACGTCTTCATGCGCCTACAAACAGGTGTCGAGTCGTGTGCACCGCGAGGCTGTGGTTTCTACTCGGACGCTAACGATTATCAGATGGTGTGGCGTCCGTACGTGACTGATGCGGGAGTGCCGGGCAACGTGTACCCTGTCACGACGCAGGCGAGTGTGCAGGACAATCGGCGACGAGTGACGCTACTCATGGACCACTCACGAGGTATAGGTGTCCTCGACGAGGGCGAATTCACCGTCATGCTCGACCGTCGCTCCAACTTTGACGATAACCGCGGGATCGGACAGGGCAACCAGGCGAACCGTCCGGCGCGCTCCACGTTCTGGGTCACCTTCGAGGATCTGCCGGAGGCGCCAGTGAAGGACGAGCTCTTCGCGTCATCACCTATGACAGCTGCCCTGGCGCGGGAGCTGAATCACCCACCGAGGGCGTACATGTCGCGCGTGGCCTCCAACGACCCGCGTCTCCGGGAGCCTCTGCGACTGGTGGGCGGCGCACTGCCCTGTGGCTGGGAGCTGGTGACCCTGCGTCAGCTGCAGGACCGCTCGCGGTACGCCTACCCGGGTCGCAAGATCCAGATGACGCTGCTGCGTCGCCGGCTGGACTGCCGGCTGTGGGACGAGCGGGACGGCCTGCAGTGTCGGCACAGCGACACAGCCGGCGTGGATTTCTCCGAGTTCCTCGGCCTGGAGAGCATCCACGAGACGGGTCTCACGGGCGGCAGCAAGACATCCAGCGGTCCCGGTCCGCGCGGGCTCAGGGATGTCCGGCTGAAGCCCGATCAGATCAGGACGTTTGAGCTGGGATACACGAGAAAGGGCGTGGATAGCGTTGAGGTTGATACGGATGAGGAGGAAATCGCGTTAGTGAAGAAGCTGAATGACGTTTCGGAGGAAACCAACGTGAGATAGCGGTCGACTAAGCCGCAAGGTGTAATAATATTCCGAGCTTGACTGCAAAAATCGATCTGAATGATCAACAGTTGAGCTGTTGGAAGCACGTTGGCAGTTGAGAACGCCAGAGTAAAGACACCATTGAAGTGAATCGTCTCAAACGATTGCCGCTTCCTTGTTTTCCGGCGGGACATTCTGGAGGTGGTTGTGGTGCAAAACTGCCAAAACGACGCTCTTGTGAAAGACAGCCTTGGCAGCAAGTCCTTACCACACATCCACACTAAAGAATGTCGTTTTAACACGACTGTGACATTTATGTGGCGGGCGAGCCACGCTGTGTGGGTTTGGGATACTTTGGGCACGTGTGTTGGGTGGTTTGTTACCGGGAACCGGTTGTGTCTCTGTGATAATGTGCCGTGGTACTGTGTATCGTAGCACGTGGTTACCTGAACGTTTTCATTTGCACACACGAATCAGGGCGGTGCGATGTTTTATAATGAGCGCAGGTGACATACCATTTGTCAATGCAGATCGGCATGCTGACGCAGTTGTTCAGAGCTTACTGAATTTTGTATTCCATTGCAAGAGTGGTTAGTGTTAAAAATACGATTTGAATTGTGTCAATTCACTTGCAAATAATGCCAATTTCGTTGCATTCTCAGCATTAGGTATGAGTCGTGAGAGCTTTACAGCGACCCGAAACACCTACCTTGGCGCGTGTCGTAAAAAAAAAAACTATAGGTATAAACCCGTTTGTATATTTTTCTGTGTATGCTGCGCTGCACTATCTAAAAGTGATTTGATTTTGATAGTTATACAATATACGGCTTCGTTGTAAACCTTCGTCTCCTCTCCTATGCTTGCCGTCCCAATTAGGTATTGGCTAAGTGTTTTTCGTTTAAAGTCTTAGTTTCATTTCTGTACCTACCGTAGCTCCTGGGCTTGCTGATGCACCGTGTGCCTGTGAAAGTGTCGAGTGGAGCTTTGTTTTCACCGACACTCTCTGATACAGAGTGGTCTACTTTTTGTGGTCCGTTTTGTGGTCTACGAATGCAACCACTGGGTGTTGCATCGTTGATCTGCATAAGTTTTGTATTTGCCATGTGCGTTTGAGTTTTGAGATATTTTCTTCATTTGTGTTGTGGGGATTCTCGTACGGACTCCGTTTCTTACGGACCTCATTTTCTTCATAGACCTCTCATACAGATCTTTCGTTTTGGAAAACCTTTTGCAATCCACTTTGCAAAACCCTTTGATTTTATGCTCAGGTGTTGATGGTTTGTTTAGGCATAAAGGGCACGTAAACGGCTTCTCTGAACTTCAATACTTGAATTAATTACGGGCTGCCGTTTCCAATCTTCAGGTATTTAGAAATGTTGACGCTCATGGGAATGAGAATCGCCAGCATGGCTTTTTTGTGGCGGTGTCTTTTTATATTTATACCTATGTTTAGGTGCGATTGAATGAATGGTGGATTGGTATACAAATGTTGCATTTGGTGATGTTGTGTTGAAATGACATGTTTCATAAAATGATAGTCAAAAGTCGCAATGGGCCGGGATTAGTCCGAATAATAAAAATATATGAAGATGTCAAGCTGCTTTTGGCGCCATGATTCGGAGTTTGACGTAAGATCGTGAAGTTTACTCCACTCATGTGCTTTTACACTCAGTATTTAGCCGCGTTTTTTGCAGCATACATTAGCCTTTAGGTACACCTCCTGTAGAGAACGCGGAACAAGGAACTACACAATCACGCGACACAACCGACACAGGTCCCAGAGCGATTTTTCCCTAATCGGCCGGTAAGCTGCATCGATTTCACGGTGACCTTTTGGTTTTGAAACTCGCATGCGGTTCTCCCAGCACGATATCATCCAATGCAGGACCTCTGGCTTGTTTTGCATCAGTCACATCTCGTTGGGGTTGAGGAAGGGAACACGAGCGCAGTTTCCGGTGATGGTGATAGTGACGAGCCCGGAACAGTGTGACGCTTTGGGCAGTTGCACTACAGGCGATAATTCGCAAATGGACATTTGACTTGACTGACAAATACTTTTGCTCGCAAAATGGTCGACGGTCGTCGAGAAGAACAGCGTGTGGCGGTATTTCACCAGCGTGTGATCCCGTGCCTGTAGCCAAAATCGGACTGGTGCTACGGAATACGGATCTGGAAGTGCTGATTTTTTTTTTGTAAAAGATAAATATTCAGCACCGAGGTCTGCGAGAGACAGATGTGACCAAGACCATGGATCAGTGGCCCCCGCCCCCTGGAGCTCTCGCCGACCGGTGGAAGAGGGCTAGCTTTCTTCACAGATGGGTAAGACCATTGGGCTAGTGTAGAGAGTTGAACGAGCCTAGATTCTATTTCTGTCATTTTCATCATGGGCTGATAATTCGACGATTATTCAATGCGAATAACTATGCTGTAGTGTAGGTAGCTGTTTGTATCAATAGGTAATGGAAGGGGTTCCATGCACGGCTAAGCTAAGGTCGAGGTGCGAGAATAGCCTGAAGCTGATGATTTATTCAAGACGCATTGTTGAAAACGGAAAACGGTAGGGTACGTTCAAGCCTGTCAGCTGCTTCCCTTTCCCGTTAAGTTGCATAGCGAGGGCCGGTGATCTGTCGCGGCCTATCCGTCCATCCTATCGCTGGATTCTTCGAGTTCTTCGAGGCGTCGCTTAGCGGCGGTAGCATCAGACCTAGGTGGCGCTGGTGATGCTGGAGCTGGGCCCTCTGGTCCAGGTTCATGACGGTGGTTTACAAATGACGTCTGAAATCGAACATGAAATTGACCTTTCTTCATTTGCAGCGCTCCTCTAATTAACTCACGTATGTACGAGTGGCAAGGGAGGCATGGAGGCAGTTAGGCACTGATGATCGACAACGTCAGTAGGTATGGAAGGAAATAGGCACCTGACATCGTTCGCCTCTTGGGCCGGCCTCCCAGCCAGCAAAATTGGTCTGGGCCGTAGCTGGTTTTACTCTTGCTAGCTTTAGCACTTTACTCCGGCCGAAGTACGGGCAAAGTCTGGAGCTCTACTGGAGCTAGCACACGATCCCAGAGCTCTCCCGCGCCACAGCCGGACCTACGCCGCATCAGCCGTGCCGTACCTCAACCGTACGTCAACCACAGTAAGCCAGACTGCAGCTAAGAGACAACCGGACCTGGCCGTAGCGACGCCGTGGTAGGGAGCTGGACTTGAGACGGACTTGGCGGTCCGAAACCATACCAACCCGGGAGCGCTACGGCAAAGACTGGCTAGCCGGAATAGATCCATATCGACCCAACCTCCAATTGTTCCGGCGGCGTTTCGTTTACACCGGCAACAACAACGGCCCAAGCCTGGCATGTTGGAGCTGCCGCGGCAAAATGGACTTGAGCCAAAATAAATTGCTGGCTGGGCTACTGCTTTCCTTTCAGTTCAGCACTTGCTGGGACGGCCAGTGCTCGAAATGCACCGTCCCTCGTGTTTCAATAGTAGTGTATATGGAGCCTGTCCATGAACTACGGGTTTATCTCATGGCTACCTTTTGGTTGCAAACGTATCTGCTGACATCAAGTTGATGAAATATATTCAAAACAACTTTAATAAATTAGGTATCGTAATGGTCAAAATCGAGCAGTATATGGATTTTTAGTACTAATGTGAGGGACAATACAATTTACCATAATGATAAGCAACTCTAGCCTTACAGTCATTCTTAACGTAAAAGAAATGGGCAAAACACGAAACACTTTACAACGTTCGGGATAGGTCAGCCCAGCTTTGAACTTCTTCAACATTGAAAGTGATAATGCCTATGACCGAAACATCCCGAGCCTTAGGTACTTCTCGTCAGTTTTGAGGATCGAGGACAAGGCCCTAAAACATAAGGTTGGACGAAGTTTCCTACCAACAAGGTACTAGAATTTGTCGTGATATTTCGTCCTTGCAGTTGTTTCTTTACAAATATAGAGCAAACAAGCATGTTTTCTAATAGTATGAAAATTTGAAAGGAAGTAATAAGTCACTTCATATTTGATTCACAAAAAGCCATTTCGAAATCAAATTCAATGTAGTTTTGACCAAACTCAAGTCGACTTATCCAGTATCTACTTTATTTTCCAGATGCGCGGTCCAGACAAACACGTTGCTATGGGCGGTTGCTATGGACGCTATCTCGTATTTGCAGATAGTTTTGTTGTTATGAAATAGGGTAAAACAAGCTCTTTGGATATTTTCCTGTATTTCGGGGCTCATCTAATTTATCTAGCTTTGGCACAATATTTTTACTTTATCATATCATGGTTCCAGACACAGGTGGTTATTTTCAGCGCGTAAAGAAATAAGAATAAAGACTTATTATGTTATACAGAATGCAAATCGCCAGTCCCTGGTGGTAAAGTGAATGATACACAGAGATATCTGTTTTTATCCCGGTAGAAGCATCCTTGTGAAGTGTGATCGATCATAAATTGTCTGAGAATCAGAAGTTAAGCGATATGTCAAGAACCACGAAACAACCAGCTTAACCCATTTATGCCCAGGAATATTGACCATCATGAAAATCGACGAAATCAAAATATGTTATGCTCCTACCAGGGTCTTGCATGGAATCGAAAATAATTTTTGCCTGCAGCAAAAGTTTTTCGAGAAAAACGTAAAAAACATGCGTTGCGAAATCGCAACGAAGGGCACACCGGGCGCCATCAGCGTTGCGAAAACGCAACGACGGGCACATCAGACGGACATAAAGTACACTGAACTGCCGTATATGCTAATATGTTTTGACAAAACATCAATCAACTGTTGACAACTATTGCTTGAAAATGCGGAACCCACATCCGTCATGCTCTATAACCCGCCTAAGAGCCTCAGTGAGGAAGCATAACTTCATGATTCGCGAACGGGGAGATGGCAACACGGTCATTATCAACCATTAACGTTGTCCATTGCTGTTCATTTAAAATTGTGGTCGACACGTATCCAGGGTGATGCTTTCTTTTTGGAAGCTAGACAGAGCCATTAGTCATTACCCCTACATATTAGACCCCACACTGAATACAACTAAATGGAGGATTGGGAGTAAACCAGTGCCTCACGTATGCGCGTATATCCGCAATCATTGTTAACCACCCTCCTAGGAGTAAAGTTAAATGCCATTGCAGTTTAGTCGTACCCCCTCTCAGCAAAAAGAAAAAAGGACCTATCCGGCTCTAACAAATTACTCGCGTAAGGCGTAGCGCATCACAACAAATAGATTCCTGCAGTTTATCATGTTTACACCTAATCCAAAATTTTCATGGCCCCACTCTCAGCGACCTTCACGTGTAACCTCTTTCTCGAGACAATGCCAGGACAGAATGGTGATTCGACGTCAATCCGTCCTTTCCATCTTCAGGATAGTTGAATCCTCCTCCACGCCTCAACCACCTGTTCCGAGCTGGACCGGCAACGTATATTGCAATCGGGCAGCTCACATAGGAGCGCGCCTGTAGCCGGGTGCAGTGAGTGCTTGGGAGGGGGAAGGGGGTGGGTCATGGGTGGCCTGCCCACTGCATGGCTGGGCTCAGTCTCCAGTCTACGATTAACCGTGTCCGGTCAGACAAATGTCTCCCCTAGTTCCAATAATCCTGCTAGCTCTAAAAATGGTCTGATTAGATAAAAAGCCTATCAAAGTAAGAAAACAAACGTATACTCCACATCAAGCAGCTTATGAATCTATGCGAGTTATGAATCCTAAAAATTATTATTTTCCCAGGTCCGCCCTCATTACCCCTGCCGAAGGGCTCAGCTACCCCCAGAGGGGGCCTATCACACTATTTGCCGACCTTCAGTTATCTTTTCTAACGTAAATGTTGGTAGTCAGCAGATTCTATCCAAAGAATGGCGATGCCTATCTGTCGCCTGATACCAGAATATATCCCCGTTATTCATTATTTATGCACAATGTATATAGTAGATCCAATTTCCAAAGAACCTAATTATCTCTCAGCTCCGTTAGCATCGCCGACCGTTTGATGCATGGGTCCTTTTCCTACCATGCGATTTTCAGATGCATGGGAACACATTGCTTAGTGAACGAACAGCCCGAGGCCGATAATCTGCGAGAGAAAAAGAAAGGAGTGTTTGTGGCCGTTTGAGCCAGCAAATATGAAATGTGTCGTAACATTTTACGTGCGAACGCACCTTGCACTAAACATACCTATACACGTCCCTCATGGCATAGGCGGCGGAGCGGGGGGGGGGGGGGGGAGGGGGCACCGTGCCCCCTTGATTTTGCCATTTTAAACATTATCCCTATAGGCGTTGCATGGAAATGGAACTGGAAAGAATGGGGCCAAAAGTCGGCATTCCCCCCCCCCCCTTAATTGAAAATGTTCCGCCGCTACAGCCTCATGGCTACAAAATAAGAGAGAGAAAGAGAGAGAGAGAGAGAGAGAGAGAGAGAGAGAGAGAGAGAGAGAGAGAGAGAGAGAGAGAGAGAGAGAGACAGAGAGAGAGAGAGAGAGGGAGGGAGAGAGCTGGGGAACGAGGAGGAGAGGGAGGAAGATGGGGGAGAGAAAGAGAGAACCCACAGCGTATCACGAGTGAAGTCTATTGTTGATAT